CGAAACATTTCGATGAATATCTGAAGTTTGGGGAAACGCACAGGCCTAAAACTTGGAGAAGTGGCTTATTTAGTTATCTTCTATGACATCATAATTTCATAGCTTTTTCTACTGGATGGTTTTCGATTTATTTTTTCATTGCGTGACAGTGAAAGCGATCTATATCTTAGCGTCGGATTCATCTTCAGAATCTCCAAGGCCACCCTGGTGGTTTTTCGTGGCTGGCAAACAACCGGGCTGACTTGAGTTCAGCTCAACATACTCAACTCCTTGAGGGTTTTTTTTTTTTTTTTTCGCAAGGACAGCATTGTTGGCGTTAGCTGGCCTTGATTCTCTCGTCCTCGTCGGCCATAAAAGAGAGGTAAAACGAGGTTGTCCTCTGTAGCTGTGCAGAAGTTTTGCTCTCGGTTGGTCAGAGCTCGCCGCTGTCGAACAGTTTCTCCATCTGCTCATTTGAAATTGGTTTGAAATTGCCTGTCTTCCTGAGAGCTATTAGAAATGGAGATAATGGTCAGAGATAATAGAAACGGTTTGTTGTGCGGTGGCGAGCGAAGGAAACGACCAATGGCGGCTCTTATGGATTTCATAGGCGAACTTTTGTTAAACGTGCCATGTTGCTTCCTCGTAGACGTGTAAAAACACTTGAGACAAACATTCAGTTCTTCTTTTGACATTTCTTCCATCGGTTTCAAAACTTTGGTGCCACCAGGACTAATAAACCATTCTGTAATATCAAGTTTTGAAAAATAACTGAGCTACCACGCGCGCTCCATCCCATTGGTCGATGGTTGTGTTTAGATAAGAGTACGTAAACACGGTTGTGACGTTTTAGATTCTTGCGTATTATTATGAACTATTAATTTTTATAAAAGCAATAGAGCACTTTTTCCGTGTTTGCATAGTCTCATCTAAACACGAGGAGGGTTGGGAGAATTCGAGAATTCTCCTAACTCTCCTCGTGTTTAGATAAGGCTATGTAAGCACAGAAAAAGTGCTCTATTGCTTAAAAACATTGTTGTTACGTAATCTCGACGGTCATATTTGAAATTTTGAGACCCACCTTTCGAAGGAAACTTAACAGATACGTACCGTTAAATGCTTTGTGGCTTATTTCCGTTGTCACTGGGACGGCATTGTCCATTATTTCTTGTGTTTCGTCTGTAGATAGCTCACCGAATCTGCTTTCTTCGTCCATTTTTTTGTCGACGAAAGTCTACGCCGAGCGACATTTGCCGCATTCAATTCCATATAAGGTCAAACGCAGGTCTGGTTGCTGGTAACCGAGATCCAATGAACCAATCAGAAAACTAGAATTGCATTATCCGAAGTTGAGAATTTAATAATCTGGGTTAATAGCAGCTGGCAATCAAACAAGCCAAACGCTTGAATATATGTTTTAATTGTGTTGGGTCACTTAGTCTCCACCATTAATAAACACTCACTTCTTGAGACATTGCCTTTCCGGTTTCTTTCAATTCATTATAAATTGGTAGACAACGATGCATTTTATAGTTGAGTGCTGAATTAACCATCTGAGTGCAGATAATGGCTCATTGTTTAACTCTCGATAAATCAACACAATTGAGCAACTATCCGTATATTTTACTTCTTAATCTTTTACAAGCGTTATTTTACAATCCATTGAGGTAAATTTTACAGTTGGACGTCAAAACAGATTCTAAGCATGTAATCCAATTAATAATTTTGTCCAAGGTGTTTGTCTAAACTTCAACATGTTCAATTGTGTGCTGAACGATCAAATGCAAATAGGTTTCTGACCTCCTGTCGAGACTCCGTCATTTGGTAAGATCAGATAAACCACAAAACAGCTCAGACACTTGTAATCTAGCCACGTATGCTCAAAATACCACTCATTTAGACTACGCTAAAGGTTTTTATTGACGGAATTGCCATACATTGGTGTTCCAATAAGATCTAAAACTATCTAAACTCCTTTATGTTCGAGTTCACATATGATCAAGATTAAAGAGGTGATTGACACAAAACACGCTTTATTAAAATACTGTTTGCTGACGCAGTCGGAAACAGTCACATCTTGTCCTTTAGCTTGGCAAAAACATGAACCAGTCATTTGAATAAGAGTTTCAATTGCATCTGTCAGATTAAGATCGAGCGGTTTGCTTTCACGTTGGAACAGTGCTTAAGTGCACGATGAATCTCTTTTATTTGCACCCGCAATAAATAAAATCGGATGGATTAGTAAGAGCGAAATTCTATTATAACGGTCTCCTTCGCCAATTACTTCAGAATGAGGTGTGAGCGAGACTAGCGTGCCTCGGCGAGGACAAGTTAAACCGCAGAGGAAACTAAACGGTACATGGTCACAGCTGCGAGCAATCAATCTCTCACTTGTATGTAGCCATTTAAAAAAAATGTCACTGTTTTCTTGCTGCAAAAGCTTGTCAGCAACGAGTGGTTTTACCCGTCGAGCCATTATATTGGGAGGCCATAACAACCTACTTTTTTTTTTTTTACACTAAGAATGCAAAGGTTGTAGTTCTTATTAAAAAGCATTTGTATTTAATTGCCTTTGTGACTGTCCCGATCAACCAGACTGTTCCTAATTACGCTCCGATTTCCGATTTCTTTTTACAAAGCGCGTTTAGTGTGTCCAAGTCTAGTGTAATTCAAAACAATCGTTTCTGCTCGTGTCTCCTTCTAGTGTGGAAAACAACTGCCTCTGCCACCCAGGGTTTCATATATCGTGGTGCTTTATTTAATGTTAATAGCTCTTAGCTCTGCGATTATTGCCAAGACAAGGGAGAGCAGTTACAAATGTAAATAAACAACAGAAGCCGATAACTAAACGAAGTTTCGAAAGGCTATCGATTGCACCCACACATCAAGTACCTTCTCTGCCTTTTTTTTAGCCCTGCTGTAATTCACATCAAGCCACATATGTTGCCATTTTGGTTTGCTATATATGGTCGGAATTTTAAGTTTAACCCGGGGCTGCTGATAAAATACCAGATAAATATGGACAGCCCAAAGTGAATTTCCATATACACATTGAAAACATGTAAAGAGCAACTGTTCTATGAATCTTCGAAAGCGGAATTTATCGCAGCCTGTTCATCTTGTTATTTTTATCACTTCTGAATTGGTTGGAAGACCATTAAACAACGCTTAGTTAATTCCACTCTTTAAAATGGTAATTAGGTCGACTGGAGAGGAATTGTGGGTTCGATTGGTGCCAAACGGTATTGTTAATTGGAATCGTATATTGAAAGCGATTTCTGTAAGTTAAGTAAGATGCCGAATGACAACACGTTTGCACTCACACACATCAAATTTTCTTGTTTTGGAATTATGAGGACCATAGCTGTTATTTACTACCTTAAATCTCTTTCGCTAATATGAAAGACATTAGCTCAACATTTGTTAATCATTTTAGCAGATGTTTCTTTGTCACACCAAACGTTTCTTGTCCGATCCTGTTCTTCAAATGTCCAACACTACAAATACAATTCTATAAATGGACCAACCATGGCAATTTACCAGCGATAAGCTATGTGTGTGTCTAAATCAAACATCTGTGAATTCCTGTCCAGGGACAATTAAGCCTGTAGCGCGAGAAAGCTATGTTTAAAAACATAGGAATTTGATTGACATGAAAATTATCCAAATTAGCGATTAAACATCTTTGTAAATGGCCTTTGGGCACATCGACTTTACCAACCAATGAATGAATGCAATGAAAATCGCGCTCATTGCACCAGCCAATAGAACGGGGGCTTAGAAGTAAAACTGACGCCTGTATTTGTCAGCAAATTTTCCTAATTGCCTTTATCGTCAATACAATCGCCTTATTGATTTTATATGATATGTCATACTCGCGCAGGCAGGCGGCAGACCTTTCATGCTCTGTTTTGTCCTAAACCTGACAGATAAGTACGGTAGAGCTGCGACAATTGCTTCAAGCTGTCTCCGCTCCAAATCATTTGCCTGCAACCAGGCGCAGGGAAGCCATCGTTAAGGACGTAAAACATGGCGTCGGTTGGAACATGGCATCGGCACGTCTACAACAACCCTCCAAAGCAACCAACACCGCACTTTGTGGCTGACATTCTCGGACTTCAATCGGGCCATCCACCGACCTACATGACAACCGCTCGTTCTCAACAAGACCAACCGCTTGCTAAACGCCGCCTGTATATAAAAGAGAAGGAAGCAAAATTGAAACAAAATAACCAGGAGGATTCGAGCTGCCATATCGCTAAGAAGGAGACCCCGGCTCAATCAAAATTAGATATAAAAGGTAAGTTAGTTCACGCTCTGCTAACGAGTTCGGAAATTGGTGGCGAGGGTAATCAACGAGGATCAATTTTCTAAACGGTTCTCGGCTTTCTGTTTTTAAGCAGAAACCTCTTCAGCCCATTCCAGGGGCATAAAAAGATTGAAAGGAAAGTCTGGCAAGGAGAAAGTCAAGAAGAAAAAAGCTAGAACCACATTCACTGGCCGGCAAATTTTCGAGCTAGAAAAGCAATTCAAAGAGAAGAAATACTTGAGTGCCTCTGAGCGAAGTGACATGGCCGCGCTGCTTAATGTGACAGAAACTCAAGTCAAAATTTGGTTTCAAAACAGACGAACGAAATGGAAGAAGCAGGAGAAAATATGCGAGGTAACACCCGAGAATGACAAGGATTCCCAAAGCGAACATTCGGATAACAAAGATAGTGTATCCTCGGATACTGGACTTGATAACGACGACAAAAGCTCTGATTTGGAACTGGAAGAAAGCGGCTAGCTAGCACCCAGGTGAAGATTATCTCCCGCTAGCCATTGAACTGTAAAATATCTGTTATTTATTTCATTCACACAGTCTTCCACTCGTAAAAACTACTGTAAGCTGTCAGTAATCTTTGTCCAAGAGCTTCCAAAGTGAAACTGTTAGGATTGTTTTAATTGTTCACTTTCATGAACAACGTGTATTAATACAATTATCTTTTCAATGGTTTGGTGCTTACACGAATTAAGAGACCGATTAACGATATTCTAAATGGTGGAAAGTCTCTGAATTGGCCATCTTAAAAATGTTCGTCTACGAGGGTATAGTTGAACATAATGGATGCAAATTGTTGCGCTTTCTCGAATTATTTTCTTAAGCCAGTCGGAGAGCGGTAATTGAGCTTATTCAGGAAGCAATTGGCGAGCAAATGTACTAGCGTCTTCATAAAACTTTATGAAGAGCGTTCTCGTTTGTTTGATAACAAGATATATTTCATTCAAATGAACAAGGCAGTTGGAATATTGAACTCACGATTCCACAGAGACCATTTTTAATTGCTCGCCAAAACCGTGATACAAGCAATTTTATTACGCAGCAGTTGGCAATTAACAAAGTATTCGGTTGAGTCTAAATAGTGGGGACATCTTTACCACCTATTGTGTTTTGAAAATCGATTTGCAGAACTGTTTTACGCCAAGACAGTTAAATAGAATGATTGCTAGACACCTGAAGCATCCTTAGGTTGTACAGTTGAGTTGTTTTGTTTTGTTGAACCTCTTTATTAAATTTGTGACTATAAATTATAGATGATTGCACTGACAATCACCGACCTCCTGCCATGTCACAAACGAACGCCACGCAAGGTATGGCCTTTTCATTGTTACACACGGCTATTGGTAACATAGTGTCTTAATTAACAAGCGTTCAACTGAAAGGTATTTTATCAAAATATCCGTACTTAATCCGGTTTTCTGAATGTGTTTTTCTTGCGGAGTTTAGGATGAATATTGCTTTTGCATTAAAGAACTGAGTCAATTTATCGAAATACTTAATTCATGTAGTGGAAGTTGCTTTCACTTTGGTATTAAATTGAGTTGAGATGAAAATTGCGTGTTGCCTCATTCACGGCTGGTTGCCCGACTGATAAAGATGATCAAGCGATATCACAAATTGCACCCAATCTAAATTAGAACTTAGTGTGCGCTATCCATAAACAGTAGATATAGTTAATTGGAAACAAATGGCTCCCGTTGAAAAATAACTAAATCTGGCGAAGCTGTAAGGTTTGCCTCCTCTAATTGTTGGTAACTATCTTTTCATTTGGGTTTATCTAAGGTCCCAGCTTCTACAAGAACCCCACATAACGATTAACAAAGGGTATTTCAGAAAGAGCGCGTTTGATAATTAATTAAAAGCACGTTCCCTTTGCAATCCGTGAAACAATTTGCGTGCACAGCAGACGAAGCCGCTAGAGTCTGTGATTTCAACTCGGTTATTTTTCCGATAATTTATTTGACATCTTCCTCTAAATTGTTCGCCGATGTGGCACAATTAAGAACGTTTTACTAATGCCTTGGCTTGCTTGTTTACCACAAAATCCGCGGAAACCACACGTCTTTTGTGGAGGAAACATTAAGCTACTGAAGTTCCGCCAAACGGGAAGTTTGTTCATATTCTACGCATTTAATAAACATTTTCCAAATGAAGCGCATTATGAGATTGTACGGTTTTACGAGTCACAACTCAGCCTGTTTGCTTAGATTGCCACTGAATTTTACTCCAAATGTTTCTTTATTTCGACGAAGCAAATGTAAAAAAAAGATCCATAGCTTATGAGTAAGAGCTAACTGCACTTTAAACGTCATTGAGCGCTAGGTTTCTTTGAAATGAATAATTAAGGGAGCATTTTAATGGAGTGCACACGAGAGTTGGATATCATTTCCTTTTGTATATAGAACAGTGACTGACAACATGGCAGGTCATTAGACACTTTAAAACGTTGAAAGATAAAACTTGAAAAACTCTGTGAAGGATCAGATGGTCGATGGAATCGTTTGAAAGTTTCAGGCAAAAACAGGACCTCGGCTCTACGAATTATCATTTTTTGGCTTTGTTTATATGTATATATATATTTTTTCATCCTGTTTCACTGAAGCTCGAAGGAACATCGGCAGGAGCAACCTTTGCGAAAAATGGAAAATTGAAAGAGGTGGTATATCAAACGAAATGTTATTTAGTTTTTCCTCAACTGAAAGAGCCCTCGAGTCATTATTTGGTAGTGTGTTTGAGCATATGCACTTGGGCACGTTAACAGTTAATGGAGTGTCTAAACAACTCTCACTGTTCATTGACAGAAAAGGCAAACACCTTTTAGTAACCATGTCAAACAGAAGTCAAGATATTGCTTCATCTGGTTGGTTTGTGGTGTTGGGTCGCTTCTCAGTAAACGTCGGAGAGATGGACCGTCGTGGTACCATGATTAGATCGTTTTTGGTTGGTGAACTGAAAGAGTCGCGATACGTGTCTGTGTTGAACGGTTAAACAAAATTTGAAATGGCCATGAAAATTTCACTTTATTTCTAGCCGAATCTCTTTCGTTGAAAGCATTTTATCTGATAGTCTTTACTGACTGCAGACTATTAAGGCGAAAATTTGATTTGTTTGCCAAGGCATCTGAATGCAAATTGGTTTAGAGGAGAAAAAGTCCCAGCATTTTAATTGGAAATCCCTTTGATTTCTTCAATCTCGACTTCTCTAGCCTGCCCTAGCTTACAACTCTTCTTGCCATTAAACGCTCTCTCTTAATTTTCGAAGTCGTGGATGCCATGTGGAATCGATTAATAAAATATATAATCTTTCGTCTCCAGTAGGGCTATTGTATTAAGCCATTTAGCGGCTTCTTTGAGTTGGCTTAACTCCAAACAAAGCGTTGATCGCAAAGATAAACAAGGGTGCGAAACACAACACGCGTTGTCGACCGGACGTGCTGCGAAAATCACTTTATGTTTATCGTCAGGCGAGTAACTTATTAATAAACCGCCTCCGGGGAAAAAACGACTGTAGAATGCTCACCAACTCAAACACTTGAGCTCAACCGTGAGAACAATCGTGCCTTTTATCCTAGATTAAACGTGGCCAGAGAGATCACGGCGAAGATAGCAGTAATTAAAATTGTGACAATCAGATTAACGACCAATGAAAAGCCATAACAAATAATCTTTTTCGTTTATTGACTCAGTCGGTTTTGCCGATAAAGGCGTAATTGACTAGGAAAGGATCGATTTCTTCTTAATCGCTACAGTGCAATTAACTAGTTGCACTTTACCAACTCGTTTAGTTTAGTTAGTGGGAAAGTTATGGAGTGAACTGACTTGAATAGTTCTTAGCCATTTTCTGGATAAAACGCGCGATTTGTTGTTTTGGAGCTACTTCCTTAAATAAAATAGGTTTGCTTCCAGACAATTAGCAATTCAGTAATTAAAGGCATGCATTCCGCGCACGACATTTGCGATCGACAGCCACCCATTTAACATTACGAGTTGATCTCGAAAAGATCGGCTTAGGAGTTGATTGATTTATCTATCAACCTGATGTGAAAAGACTTTCGGAAATGGCCTGGGAGAAGCTTTCAAGACTTCAACTCGTGTCATCACTATCAGTGTTCAAGAGAACTTTGTTGATTATTTCCCAAAAGTGCCTGATTGGAGCTTCAGCCTTCATGATAGTACTTCTGATAATTTTTTTGTTATATTTTTTTGGACGTCTCGGTCTTGTTCTTGATGCTCAGCTTCCAACCCCGGCTTCCAAGGTTGACCGCAAATCATGCCATTTCTACCCGGTTTAGAACGCGCTGAGTATTTTAAGGGGGCCTCTCGAAGCATAGATATATATATTTTTGTATATATTTGGCTCAACTTAATTTAATTTAATTTAATTTAATTTAATTTAATTTATGTTTTTGCTAGAAAACGGCAGCGAAGCCTCTTTCTGTTACCAATGCACTCATTTTGACCGCGCCATAGATGTAGAGTGGAATCCCGATTTCTCGAACCCTCGACTTTTCGAACATCCCGGTAACTCGAGCCAAAAGTTGTTTCCCTCCCATCAGCCGAACACTGAATTTTAACCTCGATTTTTCGAACTACCCGGTTTTTCAAACCAATTTTCTCTTCCCTTGGAGGTTCGAAAAATTCTTTTCATAGAGGAAATCATAATATTCTCGAACTAAATATTGGCGGTCGTATTTTCAAACGACATTTCCTACTTTTAACGTCGCATTTAAGATTAGCTCTTCCTTGTTTTTTCTAGTTCTTTTACGGTCAGGGTCTGTTGTTTAAAAATGAATGTTTAAAAAAAGGCCCCTGTGCTCAGTATGAAGTTAGCGGACTGCCCGTCCTGACCTGGATATCACTACAGCAATGAACCCATTCACCCGGAACTCATCATTCCATCTGAATTTCTCTCCGAATTTACCGCTCAGTGATACACAACATAATAATATCTGGTAATATCTTGGAAGAACAATAACTGGCCACAGCGGAACACAATCGAATGTCAGTGACACTCTTAGCAGCTGGTTTGATCGCTAGATGTCCCCAATCATAGAAATGAGGAATAGGCTGTGCATATCCAGCACCCTTGCTTCTCCTGGGGGGGGGAGAGAAGAGGGGAAGGTAAGGGAAGAGAGAGGGAAGGTGTGGCTCTGATGGTTAGATATAGCCCCAGTTGATAACTCTGTCAACGTTTATCTTACAGCCGAATCTTATTACCCTACTGTACAACTCGAACTAGTGGACTTGATAAATAAACCGTAATCCTTTGCTATCTATCTAACGCTTACAAACTACCGGTGCGTATTTTGAAAATCTACGCCGTTTCCGGGAAGTCGAGAATTTTGGCAAGTGATTCCCAGTTAGATAAAAAGGCAAAGGCTACTCTTAGTTTACGGCTGCGAGCCTCAAATAGTGAGAAAGAAAGGGAATTTAATTATATTATGTCACGCTATTTTACGCTATTTAATAGCATGGAAGACATTGCTTTCATTGCGCTTTTTTCTCCAAATTGATTTTATCGAAGTCAACAAGACTGAGCTCCTATCTCAGCATGTTTGAGGAGTTGGTGAAGGCTGAGTCACTCTCCGAACAGATAGAACCACAGTGGCAGAGAGAGTCCATATACATATACAGCGTAACGACTTTCCGCCAGACCTGACGAGGCATTTCAATAGAAATCACTCAAAATACCGGCAGAATGCGAAATCTTATTTTAATTCTGAGGAAAACAAGACCTGCCTTACCATCGGCTTTGTGAAATGCGGTAGACTGAGCGAGTAACGTTCTGTGATTCAAAAGAAAGAATTGCCTAAAACGTGAGAAATGGAGAGTAAATAACAGCTTCCATTTGTCTTCCATTTGTCCGTGTTTTGTCAGCCGTTTCATTGAAACGTTTTCTTATGCATTAACGAAGTATAAACTTTGATATCGATTACAAGTTGACACAGCGTGTTGGCTGGTTGCCGTGTGTCCTTGCAGCGAAGTTCAAAGTTCGCCAGCTGTTCCCATATCCAACAGAGTCGGACTAAGTACTTTTTGTAATACACTTTTTTATACTAATACATGGAGGTCTGTGTCTTTGACTGTAGAGGCTGAGGCGAAACGCCCTCAACTTTGAGTCAACTTGATCGTAAAAGTATCCTCATTTCTTTTTTTATTATTATTTTCAAAAGACAGATGAGTCTCATCCCGACGACTTGGCTGCGTTTCAGATTGGATTCAACATTTCAGTGGTTCAACTAGGGGAGGAGAACGGCGGCGCGGTCACCCTCCTTATTGGTTGAGGCCCGTAGAAGAGAACCGTTGGACCCCACCTTAATTGAAGGCCCTTAGGGCCGGAAACATTTGGGCCCCACCGTATAGGGAGGTCTGGGTCCGACAGGTTCAGTTCTTTTTTAGAAAATAAAAATATATTATTGATATCCGATAAATCAATTTCAAAACCAGTGAAGTTGAATGGGTCCCTATTAGTTCTAATTCATAAACATTACTACTGCTTCCAAGTTATATTTGAGAATTGTAATGGTTATTTACCAGGCGTTAAACCAAGCGCGTGTAACAGACCGAGACACGGTTGAGATTAAAAAATCAGCGAAAAAGAAAAAAAATGTTGAAAATTTATGCTTGGATCTACTATGAGACTTACTTGATTTGATTTTAGAGAGTTTAAACCACTTTGAGAGCAACTCTAAAACTGGCGAGACTTAATATTCGCCAGAGTATTTCGTATTTCGTATTTTATCAACTGCGAGAATCGATCGATCACTGTTTGGGCAATCATTCAATGAATTTTAATTGCGTATTACCTGAGACGCTTTGACCACGTTCACTCGAGTTTCGTTAAGAATTTATTTTGTTTAAAAGCACATATAAATTCATGATTCTGATTGGTATATTTAGATAACCTCAAAACAGTTATGTTTATTTCTCGACTAGAAGCTTCAATCGTTAACACGTAGGCCAAATGGATCATAATCAGGCATGTCATGGCCAGTTTAAAATGATAACCCCCGGAGAGTTTAACAAGTTTAACATTAGTTTTTCCCCATAACTGCCACTACTTACAGATTTAAAAGTTATCTATAACTGGACTGTTTCTTAAGGTCAATTTTTATAAGTTAATTTATATTTCACCTTGACATTGGTTCCAATCCGAAAGTGCGATTTCCATTAAAGACGCTGTTTCTAAGTAAAGTCACCTTTCTTTAAGGAACTCAGACCCCAAATCCTTAAATCGATCGAGTGCAAGATTACGCATCATCAGTTGGCAACCGTGGGCAAATTTGCTTGTACATATAGAGAGGTATATATTTATTTGAGATCCGTAATAAAATAAAAATCGGGTCAAATTCATATAGCTGTCCTCAGTCCAGATACCGAATTACTTGGGCACTTATAGTGCTTCTTTTGTTTTAACTCGAACAGCTGGCAAGCAGGCGCTTTTATCGGTTTTTGGCAATTGGTCTTTGCAGAACGGAAATGATAAGCAATTTAATTAAAAGAAGCAACAAAAATAATAAATCAGGAAAAGCCATTTTAACTTTAAATGGTTTCAGTTTACTTTGACATATAAAGGGACACCTGCTTAAGTCATCAACTCATTAGCAGCTAACAGGCCGGTCTTCGGCACCAAAGAAAATGACAAGTATTTAGCTGCTTACCTCATCATACAAGCCAATGTCTATTTGTTGCTCATCACGATAATCTGGTTGGGATGGCCTCTTAGTCTAAGGTTGTCAGTATGTGGGAATTGAGCACTTTTGGCTCCCTTCCTACAGTCTTCGAAGGGCAAAAAAGAAACGCCGAAAGGAAACGTCGAAGAGAGTGAAAAAGACAGCATACAGAACTTAAAGAAAGCAGTAAAGGCTGAATACTTAACCAAAAATAAGCTGTATTGTCCTGGTAACACTAAAGTGTAAATCTGTCTTTAAATGAAAGTGTCTTACCAAGCCAGTGTCTAACTCACTGTAGCTAAATTTCTGTAGAACAAATTAACAATTACTGCAATCAGTGTGAAGAGTCATTACAACACCTCCCGCCCCATCCCGTTTGCTCCCATACATGAAGTTGTTGGCTCGCGAAATCTACTCCTTGCTCGATGCGGTTTAGTTTAAATTTGTAAATAACGCTGAAAGATGGAAGCAGGAAAGACAATGGTCAAAAGGCCAGTGAATCAGTGATCGGCTGTACGGGAAAAGGTTGAAGAGTCAGGAGAAGCTACTTGTAGCATAAGCTTAATATTAAAACATAACTGGTCATAGTTTGATGATCACTTTTACACTAGAACCATTGTAAGTAGAACGAATTGAGAAAGTTGACTTCCAATGATCTTTTGGGAATTCATAGGGTTAAAATGGTACCAATCTCCTTTTTCGTAGCAGTGTACTGTGTGCACAAAAGCTATGAATGTATAAGTGTTACCTTCAAAAGATTCGTTACTTGTTCATGAAATGATTTTCTCACATAATCACTGTCTAGTCGTTGGAACACACAGAAAGGTGAGAATGGGAGGGGAACGACTTAAAGGCCAGTCAACTAGCAGTCCTAACAATATGTAATTAGGCAGCTTAAGCAAACCACGATGACGACGGCAACGAAAACGTCACCAAACAAAAGGTTGAATGAGTAGAACAATAGCTGTGCACGTGCGTTATACTCCTTGTACATTTCTTTGCCGTCCTCCTCAAAACAAGAACATGAAATGACCAAGTTCTGTGTCGTCTACGGAACGTGGACGACGACGGCTAATTTTTCGTATTTCCATTTGGAATTGAACGCCGTCGTTGCATAATTACGCTAAGCTTAAGCACGTTTTTAGAGCCATTGGCGTACCGAACAAATCTACGCAATCGCTAATTTCCCTTGCAAAATATAAATTCATTTTTTTCACTAGGCGTCGCTCTCGGCGTCGCCGTCGTCGTCGTTGCTTAAGCTCTGTTACTGAGGGAGTATTAACAGTAACTCATTACGTTTACTCAAAATAATTCACACAATTCATGCAAGGATTTTTGAAAACGGTGTGAATGAAAATTTCTCGGCCATGTTCGAACTCGGATTATAAGTCGGATTTTTTCTCGCGCCAAAATTGTCTCCAAGGTAAGCGATGTAATACTCAAAGGGATGTCTGTTCTTTTCCTACACTCTCTTATCTTCCTTTTTGTAGTCTGCTACGGTGAAAGCGGACAGTCTTCTTTGTCTCGACAACTAAAAAGCTCATATATTTTCTCTTAAATTAACCTGCTTAATGCGGACACCCGGATAATGCGGACAATTTATCATGTCCCTTTGGTGTCCATATTTACGGGGTTCCACTGTATTAACATTTTTTCATCAGTTGCAGTGATTTTCAGGCCTTTTGGAATCATAAATCAATGACTGCAGCTCATTTGGTGCAAAAGACCCATCGTTTCATTACGCATAAATCCAGTCAAATGTAGATTTATGGGGTTACGGTGTTGGACCTACTTGACGCAATATAATAAGGCATCCAACTCCTAAGAGTTCTTAGTAATGTACCTGACTAAATTCCGAAAGAAGAGGACCCCATAGCAAAATAATATGCGAACGTGCGACGGTAGAAAGTTCGGCAATGGTCGAATAATTCTTGAGATTAATTGCCGAACCTTTATGAAAATTACGACCACCTGAGAGAAGCAACCCCCACCCCCCACCCCCCCACCCCCTACCCATGAAAAAGGTAAGTGAACATACAAGAAAGGCATAGCCTAGTACATTCGTCATTAACTTATTAGAGTTATAAATTATGTTAAAGATATGAATTTCCAGAATATTAAACTCAACGAAATCCAATTTGATAGAAGTGGTCAGCATTCTAGGGTGGTATTCAACAGTTATGAACAGAGTTTGATTACCAAAAGATTACCCAAGTGTTACAATCTAAAATCAGTCTGGTTTCCTTAATTGATTCAGAAGAAGAGATTGTAATCACCTGCCAAATTTTCTTAGGAAACAGTTTCTTTGAACTCAGTAAGGTATTGATAATAAAAGCTGTGAAGCTCTCCCAACAAGCAAACTAGTTTCGCCCAAACAGTATTGAGGTGATTTTTGGACTGTTTATTTTAGGATTTGAGAAAGTCCCACCTCTTGACGAGAACTTACATTACTGATATAGGTCCTACTAGTTTATTTCCTGCATTTGAGCAGCTCAAACTACCTTCGTTATTTATATGCACCTTCATTGTAAACAGTCGATTTTCATGACGGTATAAGTACCGTATTATAACGATCCTTAATCTCACTTATCTGAGAAAAGCGAAGCTGGTAACCATCGAATACGCGAGTAATTTTGGCTTTCTAAACTTCTGCTTTTAATGAAACCAAGTTCATAATACTAGTTGAAACTACACATTGTAAAATCAGTATAGCAGCAACATCTAGAACGACAGGCACAACTTATAAGGTCTTCCCTTAAGTCACAAATCAGCAGTATTTTGAACTTTGCTTTCGTTTTGGAAATGGTGTTGTTTTGAACATATATTAATAAGAACCCGGAACATAACGTCCAGGTTGAGAAAGGCCTAATCGGTTTAAGAACATTGTTTCGTAGCGTAATAAAGATTAAAGCGAGTCTTCATATACAGTTTATAAGCTCAGTTGTCGTTTCAAAATTGTGGTAAAAATTGCAAGTGTACCTCCGTGCTCGCATTCAGAGTTTGGGGCAGAGGATAGGGACAGAAAACGTGTGTAAAAGGTAGAGATGCTAAGAAAAATGCAAGGAAAGTGGAGAAAGATTGCTCTATAAGCTCCCGCTCGCAAGTACATGACTCGTTCGCTTGCATTTTGCCGTCATGTGACACTCATCTCTGGGAAGAGTACCCCATCTTTTTTTTTTTCAGTTTTACTTCTTTTCAAGTCTCCTACAACTGGACCGGAGCCGAATGTTTATTTCAAGCAGTAATTTGCAGATCAGCGTATTAGTCCCTTAGCTGTTTAAAGAAAAGACAAATATATGGGATGACCGAACCGATGGAAATGATACCTTTCAGAGCTATGTTTATGTTGCTGGTCTCCGCTATGGAAGCGGCCTCATGCAGTTGAGCGTGTACCTTACGGTGTGTGGAGGTTTTTAGTGTTATTTTATAAGTGTAAAAGAAATGCCCATAAAATTAAATTTTGCGTTGAAAACGGTGGTAAATCACGAAAGTTGCGATCCTAGAGGCCTAGGAAAGCACAGCAGGGATTTCAAAAATCAAAAGTGACGACTTTTGTATCATTTGAGCGCAAATCAAACAGGAATGACGAATTCCACAGTGTAACTAGGAAAAAGATGTTTATTAAAAGACTGTGGCTGTACTTGTTAAAACTAAAAGTGTAGGTTTTTGTTGAACTTTTTTTCACTTTTTTGAGGAAAATATCAACGTCCCAGACCACTCATTGTACGCAAGAGCTGGCCATAAAAGGAGGAAATGGCCAAATGGAATAATGTACTATGTATACCACAGCTCCATTGGTAACTGATATGACTGATGCAATTGCATCATTTTTCATAGACAGTGTCCACATATTCAATCAGTGTAAATAGAATGAGTGAATAAGTAAAATTATCAACTACTTCCGGAGGCATACTATTAGGGGCTGAAGTTTTTGTCGGGGACAAAAACTGATATTTTTTTGTTAATAACGTGAGGGATAAAACTAAGTCTTATTACAACTAAGTCTTATTTCAGTTAATGTTCTCTCCTAGTAAATGAACCTCAGGCTGTTCGAGTGATAAAGGAAGTCATGGCATACTATGAGCGAGTGACATCAAGTTTAGAAAAAGGACAAACCAGAGATGTTTTCTCCAGTTTACAAGAAGGAACGACTAGTAATAAAGGATACTTTATGGTAGAAACTGATCAGTAATATTCCCACATTCGCTTCGAATGCCCTCGACAACAATGGGCATATTGTAAATATTTGACATGTTTGACTACCTTAGCGGTGCTCAAAATGAAATACTCTGTCCCACTCTTAATCTCTCTCTATTGATTAAAATCGTAACTTATAACTAGGTGGCAGAAACAACAATTTGGCCGTATTTGCTACTGAACACCTATTTTCGATTTACTCCGCAGAGCTGGCTGCTCATCTAATGTTGGAATGATCTGCTGGCAAGGAGGGGAACATCTAAATCTGGCGAAAGGTTGTTGGGATAAAGGTGTCGTGATTCACGAAATAGGTGAGAAGAAACCGGTGACACTATAATCTTAAGACAACTATGGGATCTGAGCAAAACATGTATCGGCCATAACATCTTTAACAAATAATTCACTGTGACAAAGGAATATAAACTTTACTGTAATGATTCGATTTAGCACCCTCCTTCCAATAAACGCCCCCTTTCTAAGAAGCGCTCCCCTCGAGTGCTTTATTAATAAGCGCCCCTGTTCCAATAAGTGCCCCCTCTTAATAGGCGTCTCATTCTAATCAGAGCTCCTTTCCAATACGCCCCCTTCCAACAAGTGCCCCTTGCTAATTAGCGCTCCCCCTTGAGTGTAGTTTTTGTGATAGCTCCCCTCCCCCACCATTCCAATAAGCGCAGCCTATTCCAATTCCGTCTGAAGGTAATCACATTATGACAAGCAGCTCAGGGCCCCTATTGTAACAGTTTAGGGTAAAGTATCTGTCTTTTCACATTAAAGCATTGCACCATATTCAGGTATATGTTCAAAAAGAAATCGAAGCGCCTTTCCTTGAGCTACTTGAAGTAAATTAGCGCCCGGAAACTAAATCGAATCATTACAGTTTCTATATATAGTGAGGACAATGATATAGCATTTATGGAAAGTTTTCGTGTCCCAAGGTTTTGCGCATGCACTGTGTTGTTCTTTCCGTGTAATCATGTAAGAGATATTTTCACCAGCTCAGCCCCGTGCACTCTTCCTTGTTCTTTATTTTACCGCTGTTTCTAAATAGTGATCTGTTAACTGTGTTTCCATCAGCACACGCCCTTGGCTTTTTACATGAACAGGACAGACCGGATCGTGATCAATATGTGAGAATTCGTAAGGAAAACCTACAGGATGGTGAGTAGCCGTCATTTGTTGATTTTATTTGCTGACTAAACAGCAACAATTTTTTTTATTATTTGCTTTGTGTTTTCAGTCTCTGTTTTGAGTAAATAATGACAATGGAAATGACGATGAAGGCTTGGAGGTACGGCCGTGGTCTCGACTATGGATCTAGCGTTCCGGGTTCCAGTTTTAGCCGGGGAAATCGTGTTGCGTTACTCTCACAGTGACTCCCTCTACCAGGCGTATACATGGGTACCGTCGAATTAAATGCTGGGGGCCAGTGGGGTAGCCCTGCGGTGGACTAGCATCCCATCCAGGGAGGAGCTGAAATACGCCTAGTCTCTTCATGCTGCTGAAACCGGAAATAAGCGCCGCCCTGATGGGCCACTTGGCTTGCATGCAGACTTAACTTTTTTTTCATGTTGCTGACGACGACAATGATGGTGATGATGACGATGACAAGTTTAATTATCAATGAAAACACTCATGAAGTCATTGTATGCAAAAAGTCAATTTTGCTGACAATGACGCACCATATTCTCAGTCTGTATAGTTAGATTGTTAAATTCTAGTGGAATGAACTCCCCAAATAATACCTCAGAGATTGTACACACCGCATCACAATCCTTAAACTTGCCGATTTGATATCCAGTTTCTGCAGCTCATAGCATTTAGACCGTTACATTGATTCCTTTTTTAGGTTGGAAAACCGTGTTAAATAAGCCCAACGACATGTGGAATTACGACACCAGTGGAACCCCTCATGACTACCCGAGCATCATGCATTATACAAAGACTGCCTTTGCTAAGACAGGCCACGATGGTAGACTGCTAACAACGATTGAAGTGAAGGACACATCTGCAAGTTCTTTCTGAAAGTGTTACTATGACGAAAATCTCATCTTTCATGCAAATCTAAGCTAGTTTAAAGCATAGACAATTAGTCTGTGTGACAAGAAAAATGCTGCTTACCATTGTCAAATATCTCCTTTTGTTCTAGAGATATTCAATTTTTTTAAATAAGAAAGTTAGCCAATTGCAAGTGATGATGTCATACACTCAACCGAATTTTGATCAAATATGATAAACAAGGATATCTCAACCAATTTGTATCAGAAATGTTTGATTCTTTGCAGTAAGATTCTATTACAGGTGCTCAACAATATAAGCTGAACATTTCTGTTACCATGGCAACATACTAGTATCCAGACCTCCCGATATTAAAGGCTTTTCTGGCCACCTTTGGTGTTCCATATTGATTTTTGTCAATGGTTCCTCGTCTGCATGATCTTGGAAGCATATAAATATGTTTGGAGAGTCCATCGCCTTGTTCAATGTTTTTCGAGCTGAAAATCACTAAAATATTGAAATCAGGTTGGAGGGCACTGGAAAAGAGTGGGTTCTCAAATTTACCGAGATAGCGCTATTTATAAACTTGATAAAATACTTGGTTGCGTGTATGACATCATCAGTCATGCCATTTGCATATTTTACACATTTTTTAAAATTAAATATCTCCGGAGGCAGTGCAGATATTTGCAAACGGTAAACAGCGTTGTTTATTTGAAATTCTATGTGATAAACTCAGAATTTGAAGGGGTAAAAGTCCTGAATTTTTAATATTTGGCAAGCCAAATCTTGAATTTTCAATATTTCTGTAAGCCAAATCTAAAATTTCCAAATCTTCAATTTTCAATATTCGACGAGCCAGATCTTGATATTTTCAATATTTGGCAGGCCAAATCTTGAATTTTCCAATCCTAAATTTGTAATATTTCGCAGCCAAAATATTGAATCTCTAAATCTTGAACTTCCAAATCTTGATTTTCCAAATCTTGAGTTTAATTTCCTAATCTTGAATTTTCCAATCTTGAATTTCCAAATCTTGAATTTCCAAATCATGAATTTCAAAATCTTGAATTTCGTAATCTTGAATTTCCAAATCTTGACTTTCCTAATCTTGAATCTCTAAATCTTGAACTTCCAAATCTTGAGTTTAATGTCCTAATCCTGAATTTTCCAATCTTAAATTTCCTTAACCTGGATTTCTGATCTTGACTTTCCTTATCATGAATTTCTTAATCCTGAATTTTCAAAGCCTGGATTTCCAAATCCTGAATCCAAATCTTAAATAATTCCCAGATCGTCAATATCTCTCTGACAAGCCGAACCTTGAATTTTAAATTGATCGGTGGTGAATCAGGGTCCTTCAAAAGCCATGAGTCTCGCTGAATTTTCGTCGAATTTTAAGGGTCCTGTAGTCTCCCCAGTTAAAACACTTTAAACTCTGGTCAAAAATATGTCGGGCTCGCAAAGAAAAACACCATTTTCGCCTTCTAGCAAAGTCTCGCATTTACCGTTCACCACCCTTATTGGTTAAAAATTTCTCCCGATTTCAAATTGTATTTACCTGAGAATGAACCTATGATTAATTTGTTTCACGAAAATTTGGAACGATATCAAAACTGTCAGTCACAAAACTAGAACTTATGTCTCGTCTACTTGAAATGCATCTAAAATAAAAATTTGATGCCTGGCCACTGCGAGATGTCTTGACTTTAGGCTGTGCTCTTCTGTAATTAACCTTTGTTCATCAGACTTCAAATCTTTAATCTGCCTCTACAGTCATGCACCATCTCTCTCCACTTTTCCGATGATTCCATTTTCAAGCATTTTGAAGTAACTAAACCCATTAATTAGTTTACAGGCACCATTGGAAACAAGCACGACTTCAGCTGGTGGGATGTAGAGGAGATCAACAGGTTTTACGGATGCAAAGGTACAGGGCATTGCCTTTGACCTTTTTTGAACGATCCTGAAACACCTTAGTGACTCCGTGATCCAGAAAATGACGCGGCTTCCGAGTATGAATTTACCGCACTACAACTAAAAAGGCAAGATTTTGTTTGAATCTCACACTGCCAATGGCCGAGCCAAAGGTACTTAAAAGAAAGCAATGAAAATGGAGTTCTTTCTCATCAGATGGAATTTTTTGCTCCTCAAATTTTTTCCCTTCATTTCACAGGGAACATGAAAACCACGACAAAGCCCCCTACGACAAAGCCCCCTACAACGAAGCCAACATGCAGTAAGTACAGCACTGTTGCATCGGCTGCTTAAAAAGGCAGTTTTTTTTTTCGAGTTTTTCAATCTACAACTGACTGGCTAAAAAACTATCATGGCTATTTTTGGGACAAACCGGACTGGTTCCAAATGTATCGGATCGAAAAATCGGATCAGACAGATCTTTCGTTTACATGGGACTTGCTATCCCTACCTTTCCAGTCTCGACCCGATGTAAAGTTTGGACCTGTTCAACTTTGGAACCGTTTGAAATAGGACCCACACCGTTTAGATGCCTGGAGGGCTTGGTCGTGCAGTTGTAGCTACGTTCACACGGGACCGGACCTCAAATGATCTCACATGAACCCACTCGAGGCCGAGACAGGTTGGAAAACATTTCGGGTATCCTATGCTGTTGATTGACTGTTAGAAATAGCTCCGAGACTTGTTTTGTACGTTGATCCGGTCCAGGATAATCAACATTTAAAATGACGATTTTTTTTCTAAGAACAACTTCGTAGAGTGAGCCACTCAGATTTTACAATTTTAATAACGTCCGATGTTCGGATGGCCAATGGAACTTATTCGACATACATATTTACAAGTTAATGTCGGAAAATTGATTTCTTTCTCAAGACGCGAGTGTGACTACGATAACACCAAGGAAACACAAATTACTCAGCCCTTTCCGTTTTTCTCAGGTTGTACATGTTTTGATAAGGACAGCAGATATCACGATTGGCCAAGTTACTGCAGCTGGCACTCGTACGTGAGAGCAAATTGCAAAAAGACCTGTAATCTGTGCTGAAAAGGCAGCAGCAGAGTCAGTTATAAAGGGTAAAACACATTACTAACTAATGCCATGTGATTAGTGTTTTAATTCGATCTCATTATAAACACTATAAAAAAAAAAAATTTATACACTGATTTTCGGTGAAAAGCTGATCACAGCACTCCAGTTTTAAGACGTAACAAATTTTACTCTGGCTTCTACACGAAATGTTTTCTTTCTTTCTTTTCCCTTCTCGTAGGTCCATTGCGTCTTGCAGACACTGGATGTGATGCAACATATGACGACTATGTCAAGTACAACAAAAATGCTATAAAGAAAACAACCTGGGTTTTCAATGGACTGGACATAAATAAGGGAAGGGTCTCCTTGGTCCACAATGTTTTATGTTGTCATTTTCTGCTTGCCTTTACGATTTTTGCCTCGTGACGGTAACTACTGAGCGCGTGCCAAAAAGCGAAAATTCCACAAGTTAATTCAAATCGTATGCCTCTCTTGTAATTCTTGGGTTGTACTATGAAATTACCCACACCACAAACCGAATTACAATGTATTGCCTTATCAAAATCGCAAAACTAAGTTCTCATCAAACTTTCAAGTAATTATAACTCTGAAGTAATTTTCAAAAGTCAAAGCACCTTTAAGACCAGACCTGGTACTTCGGGAGAGTTTCTGTCTTGCCAGAGACTTGACAGTAATATACGCATAATAAGAGGGCACCGTTTTATGCCCGGCACATTGGCCAAAATGGCGAAAATGAAACCGAAAACTACTAACACCAAAGTAGGTATTTGTTTTCAGGAAGAGGAAGTTCATGTTTCTTAGAAGCATGGCTTGAGTGTGAAGAGACGATCCACTGTTTTTTTTTTTTTATTATCCGTCTGTGAAGTTCGAACAAAAAGCCGCTCTCTTGAATAATTTGGTGAGTTTAGTCTCGGAAAAGGGGAAAACTTAAGCGATTTCCAGCAGAAATCTGGTACTGCTCAAACTGTATAGCCACGCTTGAACACTTCACAATACAAATGAAGAATAAGGTTATTGTCAGGAGTCTTCTTCCATAGAATCTTCCTCATCTTCACTTGATGTCACATCTGGGTCCCCAGCTTGAGATTCACATTTTGGACAGGTACAACTGAATAGATAATTTTCCCTAAAAATAGTGAAAGAACACATTTACATCACAGTCAGTTATGACGGCCGGTAAGTTAACAAGGCAACAAACTATAGTTGAGCTATGAAATCAAAATGTTTCGATTGGACACGCCAAAACGGATTTTTTTGAGCAAGGTCAAGGCTGAGAAAACGGAAAGGAACCTGTTCATGCAACAAAGACCTCAGTTTCGCTGAGCTTCAGGATCATGACCCTTTATTGACTTAAAAAGTAAAATATATACGAAAAATTCTCGGAAACTTGAAAGCAAAAACTCAATCTCGGAAACTTTGGCACTTACGGTCTTACAATTTTATATGGATGTATGTGAGAGTTTCGTGCAGTTTAAAACTATTTACAATTAGCCAGAAAAGAAAAAACTGGGAAAGTAAATTCAAGGACCTTTGAGTACCATTGTACTCTACAGTAACTCTTCAAGGCCTTGCGTACAGACCACAGTTCTGTTGGTTACTGTGCGTGGTTAACCTTCATTCAAGTTCTTTTGAATTTGTTTTTCTTTGTGCATCTCTACAGTTGATCAATTAAAAGCGACACATCTTTTATCAACACCTGAGTAGTTGTTGTCTTGTGTGACGGCTTCTCTCTCTGTCGCACTCACCAAGATAACAAATGACGATTTCCTGAAAAAAATTTAAATCACTTTTAGTAGTAACAAACTTTAAGACGACTAAAATAAGCAGCATTTTAGAGAGGTACGAAATACTAAGGGTTGTACAAAAAAAGAGGAACGCTCGCAAGGAGGGTAGAAAATGTGGACCATCACTTGGATTCGACTCAAACTGAGGTGACCCGTTCTTTTCATTCTTATTGACGATCGGACGTATTCTAGGTGTATCGGATATTGCTTTTATCGGGTGTGTCGGACATGCTTTAACGTATGTAACGGTTTAGAATTAAAGCAAGATAATGATCGTAAGAAATCATTACTCGTTAATAGAGTGAAATTCTAGTACATGTACCTCGCCTGTTTGAATACTGCTGAGTGCCTTCAAAGCCAGGGTTGAGTTATTATAGGGGAAAGTAACCTCTGCGTTTGGTTCGCAGCTGTGGTTACCTATCCAAAAAAATCAACAATAGAATTTCACCGAGAAGAATAAAACTTATCGACGTCACAAAAGTACACCATTTGTAAAACTGGTGAGCACTATTGTAAGAAAACGAAAAGGACATTACAATACAAACACCATACACTGCAATGGTCAGATGGAAGATTACACGCCATCAACTGGAGAGGAAAGCACAGCGCAGCAAAGGTGAAAAAGAGATAAATAAGAGACAACTGGCGCGAGGAAAGTGAAAAAAAAAAAGACTTTCTTGGGTCTATCTGTGGAAAGAGTTAGAATCTACCACCATAACAGTCTTAAGGACCACACACATAAAACTACTGATTGAAAGTTTCAACCTCATCCACGAGGTTTGGCAATTTTAAACATTTCAAAAGAGGATCGACTTTTTACGATTCAAATTGGAAGTAGAACGTAAAATTCCGCAGTGTTGACATTTGGTGTTCAAACTTGAATAAAGCTTTAAGAGTACAACAGCTAGTTTACCACTGATGATATAGCACTCACAAGAACTTTGAAGAGCATATAGTCCTGAACCTTCACAGTTTAGAAACTGGCCAGAAACTGTAAAAAAAAAAAAATATAATAAATAAATAAATAAAAAAATAAATAAATAAAAGAATGAAAAAGGCTTCATTAACACTACTTGCTAATAATTTCGGTGATTTTAATTTCCGACAAAAAAAGTGTCCGAAAATAAAACCGTTCGAACTTTTTAATCGTCGAAAATTTCAAACGTCCGAAGTATTTACAGTACAGTGCAAAACTTTAGGTAGCTACAAAGCTCTTAGTTTCCTTTATGAGGCGAATTCTAGTTGAGACACTGCTTGAGATAAGTAACGGTTTGATATAATTTGTGTTATTTTTCACGTCGGTGTACCTATAAAACCTTGAGGGTGCAGTAAAACAATTATTTTTACAGGTGTTGGTTCAGTCTAATTTGTGTTTTGTGGGCGTAAACTTATTTAAGCTATGTTTCCGCAAAGTGTCCGAAATTTGTCCGAAATGAGATCAAAAGTGTTCAAAAATGAAACGTCCGAAATTTTTTGCAAGTAATGTAATCGTTATTATATCTTGTAAGAGGCACACATGTCCAGATTTCCGGATGGCTGTGTTGCGCCCTCAGTAGGGACCTTAGGGAGTTTTAGCAATGACGGCGGCGACGGCGGGGACGACGCCTTGTAAAAAATGAATTAATATTTTTCCTTCGAATATAGCAACTGTGTAAATCAGTTCAGTACGCCTATCGGTCTAAAAACTTGCTCAGGCTAAACATGCACCAACAGCGTTCAATTCCAAAAGAAGATACGAAAAATTAGCCATTGCGGTTCGCGTTCTCCAAAATACGTAGAATTTAGTCATTTCACGTTGTTTTTTTGCAGAGGATGGCAAAGAAATGTACCAAGATTCAAAACGCACGTGCACAGCTACTGTTCTGCTAATTGTTTGGTGACACTCTCGTCGCCGTCGCCGTCGTGATTTGCTAAAACTCCCTCTTAAGCAAATCACGACGGCAACGGCAACGAGAACGTCACCAAACAAAAAGTTTAATGAGCAGAACAATAGCTGTGCACGTGCGTCATAAATCTTTGTACATTTCTTTGCCGTCCTCTGCAAAACAACAACGTGAAATGACTAAGTTCTGCGTATTTTGGGGAACGTGAACGAAAGTGGCTAATTTTTTGTATTTTCATTTGGAATTGAACGCTGGCGTTAAGTATTCAGGTTTAGCAAGTTCTGAGACAAGTAGGCCCACTAATAAATTCACTTTTTACTAGACTTCGTCCTTAGCGTCGCCGTCTTCGTTGCTTAAGCTCCTTAGTATCATGGGCAGCGCGGTTGCGCATGGTATATGGTTCGTTTTACTATGCGGTCCATGTGTTCAGACTCTTGGCAGGGTGTTGGCGAACAAAGGATCGGTAAGTTACATTCTGCTTTGAATTTGTCTTTTCCAAGATAAGTGTAATCGCTTGTAGAAGTATTCACCAGGGTCACAAACGTTTTGGTGTCGTGTCAAGAGGCAGGCAACGTGCGTTTATGAGCTTATCGGCGCTCTCTCTGAAGCATTCCACTTGCTCTCAGTAATTAAACTTACTAGTCAACTACTGTGTTTAAGAACATTTGCCAACAGAGAGTCAGTAGTTACCATAATGACAATACAGATGACAACGTTCACCGAAAACAACGCATTTTTAACATTTTTGTCCGATACAATATCCTATTGCATCAAGATGTAAAATGTACAGGTACTGCAAGTTGTGGTTTTCTTGCACGTTTTTATATGAACTGACACACAGCATGTAGCCTCCCATACAGTCATCATTTGGGGAGGAGTGCGTGAGGAGCCCCAAAAACTCATTGTAGGAGGCTTATAATGACTCAATAAGGAGAAGGCCAACATCTAGCCATCTTGACCTGACAAGCTTGATCAATGTGGATTTATTATTTAGTATAACAAACACCACTTTTCTTGCAGTAGACACTGTGAAAACCGAAGTTGGCAGGATAGTCACCTCTTGACCACTCAGGTGGCCAATCACAAAGTACAAGATGTGTTCATCTTGCACACTGGTAGATATAGATTGTATGCATAAAATATCCAATGGTGTGTTTTCTCGAGTGGTGACGACAAAAAAGGATCATAACTTGACAAGGTGCTGTACGACATCTTTTTGATTCTCACGTTTGGTTTAACCATACCTTTGTCCATTTCCTCATAAAGCTGATCAATGAAAATGTCCAAAGCTTGATGTTCATCCTTGGATATGTCACCAAGGTTTTCAAGATTGTGAACATAGGTACTTAGTGAGCTGCAATTAGAAGTTTTAAAGTGTTAAGTTGAAAGTTAGGTGTGTTATTCATATATAAAAAAGTAATACATGCAACTACCAGCAATATACTAAAATGTTCAAATGTTCAATTGTCCAATTGCAATATGCCAGCAGTAATATGCTCATTGCATTGTGTACATGTGGTCAAGAGAGAAAAAACAGACAAAACAAACATGACATTATGAAGTTTAAGTAACACAAGCTAAGAGAATTATGCCTGATAAAATACCAGGTTTGGGGGCCTCATTTACGGGTAATTCTCATAAAATAGCACAAGACAAAAACAAATAAAAAACAAAGTAAATTAATATGTACCTTGTTCCAATACCTTGTCCATTGGTCCCAATTAATGCCATTAGAGATTGGAACCCCTCAGGCTTAAACCACTAATAAAACAAAAGAAACAAACTTACACAGCCAGCAGTAAATAAAGACAACAATTTACACTCATCGGGCTGGGCAGAAGAGAGGAGATCACTTTCTGTTGTTACATGCAGCAACAGACACTTTGAATTCATATTTCCATCTCTCGAGGATATCTATGTAACAAACTCATTATCTCATTAAGGCAGTTACAGTCATAAGCTTAAAGATTTCTCTTTAAAATTTATATTAATACTGTAGGTAATGTATGCTACAAGAGTTAGAGAGCGTACAATGGTCACAGTGATGCAGTTACAGCTGTATGTTGGACATGTAGTTACAGTACAAGCCAGGTTACTTTCAAATTTTCATCAAAGAAGATGACGATTAAAACTTTTACATCTCTTTAAGGTGTACCTCTTCTAACTTCTCATCAAACAGGGCATTAGACATAAGCATTCTAAGAATATCTAATTGTTCCTACCAAAAAAGAAGAAGAAGAAGGAAAAACATCAAAATTATTGCAGTTTAAGTACATAATATATAGATTTAACAAACATGAATTACTGTAATAAGCCATGCAAATGGTAAGAGACCAAGACCCCCTGAGACCAAGATGATAGCTGTTTGAGGTATGCACATGTATATCATCATGACAAACAAACACAAGGGACAGTCCAGGCTAGGAGGTGGTCCAAAGATAAGTACAACAGTTGGATAGAAATTCTGTTAGTCAGCTGTCTGAGCATAAATGAACATTTTACTTTCACTGCTATTGACAGAACTCTATCATGCCTCTCATAAAGCACCCAAGTGCAATAAATGGCTAAATGGCTGGAGCTCACAAAAAAGGTTTTATTGCCATTACTCCATGTGGACTTGAGAGATCGAAAAGTTGGCCCAAAACAGAGGGAGATGACGGCCAGTTTCCATGGAGCTGTGCTCCTCAGGGAGTGAAAGGGAATGGGCATAAGCCTCAGCACTCCATGTACAGGGAACTATCATGCTTAAACAGATTATGAACTTTGATCCCTTGCCAACAAACCTTAAACTGATCCCCTAATAGTTTGTGAACAATCTGGTCCCCTTTGCTAACCACAGAGTGACAGAAGGATTCAAATGTGTTCTGCACTGCCTGGGGATCTTGTGCCTGAATGTAAATGACAGATGTTTTGAAAGCTTCACTCTTGATATTCAATGCAATGCAGTTGACTCTACAGTAATAGGATGTGCTAATAATTAACGGTCAAACAAGAAGCATGTATTCAATTGGCCTGGGTTACATGACTGTACGTATAGCATGCAGACTCTCAAAATAAAACCATTGCAGATCATGAGAATGGGAAAGAAATATTTGCCATTCAATCAATACTGTATTTTTTCCATTTATAATAAAGCGAAGCGTTTTTTCAAAGAACTTATGCCTGTTCAATCAAAATCTGTTCCAAACTTTCATCTTACAACTGATTATAAGTTTTCTACCACTTTACATGTCCACCTTTCTGACTTCTGGAGTCCACTTTCAGCACTGTCCAATTTCGCACACAAGATGCACCACTTATGCCATTATACACTGGTCTGTAGACTCGCATGAACATGTATCGATGATAAAATCAATCACCAAACATGTAAAATTCATGTAGCTGACTTTCAATAAAAATACTTACTTGTAAAACTGTTGCAATCATCTGTGCAATAAGCATCACACTAGCAGTTTCAGGAGGGTAATGCATTTTCCTAAAGATTTAAACCAATCTTACATTGGCATTTATTTTTTCTGGGTGGAAATTTTGATTTTTGTCGACCACCACACAACTGCAGACACACAATAAAAGGCACAAGATCTAAATTTCCTCCAATAATATAGTCATTATTGCATATTTTGCTTGAAAATGATGAACGAAAAATTAAAATACTTAAAAGCAAACTGCACCACATTAGGATCTGCATTCATGATCATTTTCAATTGCTAGGATTTCTTAAGACAAAGATCCCTGGGTTGTTGAGCCACCCTCCACAAAAGATCTCAGATAATGTAGTAATGATTCAAATTTTCACGCAGAAGACTGTAACAACCTCCACGCTTCCTGTAGCTGTTCAAGAGGATGGCTAGGATCTCCTTTATTTTCTCCCAAACAAAGCGTTCGGTGATATTGATCCCAAGCAGACTGTCTGCACTCCTCGCTGCAATATTTAGCCTGTATTAAATAAAATATTTTCTTAGTACAGTCCTCCACAAAATCTTAAAATCTTTTTTGTTGGAAGGCATAGAGAATCAAAAAGGGAGTTCTAGAGTATTGACGTAAAAAAAACAGAAATCAGGAAGGGACCAGGGGTGAACGATTTTAAAATTCGAAAGGCTTGGGGTGGGGGTAGAACATTTCTGGAATTTCTGAAGGCAAGGGG